GGTCTTAAGAGCCACGATAGTCATATTCTGATGCAACAACGAATTCTATTGGCCATTCGAAGATCATTACCGAAGAATGTAATTGAACCTTTGATTGAATTGAGCAATTTCTTTAGACAATTGTGTTCCAAAGTCAATCGTGCGACAGATTTGCAATATATTCAAGATCGTATCGCCGTAACACTTTGTCATCTAGAGAAAATATTTCCTCCTACTTTTTTTGATATAATGGAGCACTTGCCTATACATCTAGTTGACGAAGCATTATTGGGTGGAGCGATTCAGTTTCGATGGATATATCCAATTGAGAGGTATCTTCTTACTTTGAAGCAATATGTGCGCAATAGAGCTCGTCCAGAAGGTTCAATTGCTAAAGGATATCTTATGGAAGAATGCATGAACTTTTGTGCACAATATCTCAATGATATGGAAACTAAATCTAATCGACCCACGAGGAACTACAGTGGTGATGATAATCTGGGTCGTGCTGTTAGTGAAATCACAAGCTTTTATCTTGATAACATTTCTTGGGTACAAACTCATCGGTATGTCTTATTCAATACAGCCGCGGTTCAACCATTCATAAAGTAAGTTATGTCACTCACTCAATATTTTATTATGTTCCATTGAATTTTGAACCAAATTTTGTTTTTTGATAAAATTTCAATTTACACAGCAAACACCTTGAAGAACTTAAGGTCAAAATGCCTCGTGTTGACGATCATCAGCTACGGCGTGAACATTTTGAAACTTTTCACATTTGGTTCAAGGAACATGTATGTATTTAAATGTACAGATTCTATTTACCTAAGTCGAACTATATTTTAAATTTTACAATTTTTATTATTTAAAATAGGCTCAAACTTTGCGAAGGACTAGTGATGTCACATTTTCTGAAGAGATTACTGTATTGGCAAATGGTCCTCATAACCTGGCAAGGAGGTTCAACGGGTATATAATGAATGGGTTTCGGTATCGAGTAAAGGCCATGGATGACCGTCGAGCCACACAAAATTGTGGTGTAGCTTTGAAGGCAAATACCATAAGTTATGCTAGTTGGAAAGACAAGAATCCTCGCAGAGCAAGTTTGGTATGTTGCAGACCCGTTACAACCAGACTGGCAAGTGGCGGTGAAGATGTCTCAAAGAGGTTTATTTGATATGAGTTCGACTGATCCACAAATTGAGCCATATATGAGCCAACAATTGGAAGAAAATATAATGCTTCGTGATGAAGAAGTTGGTTGGGTGAGGGAAGCCGCAGAAGGGGAAACAGTTGATGTTCAAATAGGTTGATATTTAATCAACATCAGTAATTCACTTAAGGCCAAGGTTGTAGTTAATCATCAGTTTCTTAATTTACTTTGTCTTTGTAATTGTATTAGTTCAATTAATGTCATATTATAGTTGATGACAAACCATTATCTATGTTTCTAATTAATGTTATATTGCTTACAGATTATTATGGGAAGGAAGAGGAAATCTGATCATCCCCGGCGTATGATGTCCGACGTGGTACGTAAGAGGACATCAGCGGCACCACCATCAGAGGAGGCATCACATCGACCACCATCAGAAGGACCATTAGTGCCACCATTAGAGGAGGCATCACAGCGAGCACCATTAGTGCCACCGCATCGACCACCATTAGTGGCACCACAGCAGCTATCATCTACTCAGCCACCAAACGGGGTGTTGATGGCCCAAAATCACCAAACGGGGTCGGATTGATACGAAACTTGGCACACACGACCGCCTAGGCACGAGAGACTTGTGGGAGAAGATGGGACTCCAATCGGGTTCCCGGATTAGGAGTTAGAGACAGATTTCACTCTAGGCAAACTAGTTCCTTAAGAAACTTGAATTCGAAGTGTTAACATTCCAAAATCACTAAACAGGGTCGGATTGGCACGACACTTGGCACACACGACCGCCTAGTCACGAGAGACTTGTGGGAGAAGACGGGACTCCAATCGGGTTCCCGGTTTGGGAGTTAGAGCCATATTTCGGTTTAGGCAAACTAGTTCTTTAAAAAACTTGAATTCGAGGTGTTGACGGCCCAAAATCACCAAACGGGGTCGGATTGATACGAAACTTGGCACACACGACCGCCTAGGCACGAGAGACTTGTGGGTGAAGACGGGACTCCAATTGGGTTCCTGGATTAGGAATTAGAGACAGATTTCACTCTAGGCAAACTAGTTCCTTAAGAAACTTGAATTCGAAGTGTTAGCATTCCAAAATCACCAAACGGGGTCGGATTGGCATGGAACTTGGCACACACGACCGCCTAGGCACGAGAGACTTGTGGGAGAAGACGAGACTCTAATCGGTTTTCCGGTTTGGGAGTTAGAGCCTTATTTCGGTCTAGGCAAACTAGTTCCTTAAGAAACTTGAATTCGAGGTGTTGACGCTCCAAAATCACCAAAAGGGGTCGGTTTAGCACGAAACTTGGCACACATGATCGCCTAGGCATGACAGACTTGTGGGAGAAGACGAGACTCGAATCGGGTTTCCGGTTTGAGAGTTAGGGTCAGATTTCTATCTAGCCAAAATTATTTACTTAACTATCTTTGTAATTATATAGTAATTAATTTTTTATGTTTTTTTGTAATTAAAATATTAACACATAATTATACTTGGTAAGTTCTCAACCACACTTCATTTCTTATATGACCATGGACAAATGGGTGAGATTTATAGTTTATTATTGGATGATGAACGAATAATTTTAGATAAATTACACTTTAACTCTTTCAATTATTATTTCATATCACTTTACTCCTTTCAATTAAAAATTATAATAATTAACCTCCACCATCTACTAGAAAACTTTTATTTTTGATTTACATTATTTAGATTTGTGAACAACATTATGTATGTATTATGCAAAATTATGTGGTTGGATAATTTTGATGATGTGTTGTTATGAATGGAAGAGTACTTTAATTATGGATGAAATTTTATTTATATATAGGAATTTTTATATTATTATATAGTTATCGATTTTTTTTAGCTATTTTTATTTAATACAGGTAATTTGCATATTTTTAATAATTTTATTGCTGCATTTTTTTTAGAACCAGGTTTTTGCGACGGTAGCGTAGCCGTCGCCAATGATATTGGCAATATGAACAAAAGGCCTTTAGCGACGGTACTTTCACCGTCGTAAATAATATTTTTAGAGACGGCACACTTTTCTGTCGCAAATAACAGTATTAACGACAGTATTAAACCCGTCGCAAATAACCATTTTTAGCGATGGTATTTTTACCGTCTCAAATAAACCCTTTTGCGACAGTATTTTCCTGTCGCAAATAACCATATTAGCGACGGTATTTTAGCGTCGTCTCAAAATCTTCAAATTTTTACACATTAATTGCGATAGTTTTTTGCCGTCGCTAAAAGGCATTTTTGCCGTCGCCAATATTTTTGCGACGACGTTTACCGTCGCTAATGACCTTTAGCTACCCCTTTTTTTGCGACCCCCCTAGTACCGTCGCTAAAAGCTATTTATCGTCGCAAAAAAGCTTTTGAGACGGCTTCTTTGGTATTGGCGACAGTATTTTACCGTCGCAAAAAAGTGAATTTTTTGTAGTGATTTAGGGTATTTAAGACTTACTTTGGGCTATTTTCTTGATTTTCCTTTTCAATTTCTTAAATCCACAAGCTTTAAGGTGAGGTCTCTCATTCTCTCTCTTTTCTCTTATTCTCTCTCTTTTTCAGGAGATGGTTTTGGTGTTTGGGTGAGTCCATACCACTTATAAGGCTTAAGGCTCAAATATATATATATATATATATATATATATAACAAGTCTATGTATCTATATGGCCAACCAACCTAACTTAGCGAATCAGACGAAATTTCATTTTCAATTAAGCCTCACAGATGTCTTTAAAAATTATACTGATCACAATTATGTATTCCGTTCTGGTTTCTGAAGCCTCTAAGACCTTCAATTTGCAATACAAAGCTTATAACCACCCAAACATACCTTAACGAATCAGACAAATCAAATTTCCAATTAACTTTCCCAAATGGCTCTAAAAATTCCCATTAGCATATCCATGTATTCAATTTCGGTTTCTGAACCCATGAAGGTCGGCAATTTCAGTTTTAAAGTCGTAACTCAACAGATAATTCCTTAATTCAACAGATATCATCAAATTAAAGCACATTAACTCATAATTAAATAAAGATAATTTTCTGATACGCATATTGGGGTCGTTACACCACTAGTTTCAATTTCAACCCATCATGACAAACTACAGAATTGCTTAGGCTCAATAGTTGTGTTTCAGAGTCACGTCACTACAACAAAAAGCATTTTTGGCGACGTTTTTTAGCAACCAAATTGAATTTAGTTGCCAATTGTATGTTTTTGGCGACAATATATGTGTTGGTCACCAAAAAATACACCATTAGCAACAAATATCTCAATTCGTCGCCAAAAATGGTTGGCGCCAATTTAATTTTTTGCGCGGGAGCGCTAAAAAAGTTTTGGCGACGAAATTAATATGGCGACGAAAATGTTTGTCGCCAATTTGGCCTTTTTGGCAACGGAATTAAAATAGTCACTGAAAGGTGAATGATATTTATGGCAACAAAATAATTTTCGTCGCCAATAAATTTATTGTCAAAACGACGTCGTTTTGAATCTGTTTTTTTATTTGTTTTTTAATTGACCGAATAAACAAGCTTGACCTAACATGAATCTTCTTCGTCTTCTCATTCCACAACTTGAAGCGGCACAACAGAAGACAAAGAGGTATGTCTTCTCTCCATCTTCTTCGTCTCTCTTTCCCTCTCCCTCTCACTCTCATTCTCTCACACTGCCTCCTCTTCCTCTTTTTGTTCTTTGTCATCAATTTGATTCTCTTGTTCAGCATGGCAGAACACAACACAACATTGATATTGGGATTGATTTTTCCCTCACTCTCTCACACTCTCTCATCTTCCTCTTTTTCTTCTTTGTCATCAATCTAATTTCTTTCATCTTCCTCTTTTCTTCTTTGTCATCAATCTAATTTTTCGAACTGATATTGTGATTTTTCGGACTGATATTGTGATTTTCGGAATGATATTGCAATTTTTGGACTGATATATTCTAATTTTTGGACTGATTTTGGAACAGATTTTTAGGACTGGTATATTCAGAATTTCAGACTGATTTTGTAACTGATTTTGTGTTTTTGGGGGATTGATATTATAATTTTGGGTATGGACGTGAATATATTTGGGGAAAATGCCGATCCGAGTGAAGGAAGAAGAGAGAATCGAAAGGATCATTCGTAACCTTTTGAAGCTTCCAGAGAATCGGAGATGTATCAATTGTAACAGTCTGGTGTGTGACTTTGCCTCTCTTGTTTTTTTCAATTTGTTTTATGGTTGTTTATTATTTGAATCTAGAAATGTGGAGTTCAATGTGAATAGCTGAGATTCTTGTGATAAGATGATTCGATAGTTTTATAGAATACATAATTCATCAATTTTATGTATTCAATAGGTAAAAATGGTTGCTTCTTGTCTGAATTGATGTATTATATGAGTGAAAACTGAATCCAAGTTCTCTACTTACATATCACTCTAGATTTCTTAATGCTGAATTTGGATCGAGACTACGGAAAACAGACAGGATAGGAGATTCCTTAAAAGTGTTGTTTATATTTATAGCTTTTTTCACTTTCTTTTGACTTAATTTACTTCATCAAGGAGAATTGTGGGAAGAAATAGGTGAAAAAAGTTATCATTCTAGACACCTTTGCGCTGTGTTTGGTTAGGAGATTTAGGAAGAGGTTTGAAAAGACAAAGGAAAAATGTGTGTGAAACTATATGAAATGTAGGCATATTTTTATTTACATTTCATCTACATTTTTCGTTTTCCTTTCCAAATCCCCCAACCAAACACCACGTTAGAGTTTGAAATATAAGAAATGGATTTTTTTCATATGGTGTTTGCCACTGGGAGGTTTGACTTAAGTTTTGATGTTGTGATGACATACGATCCAGCTAAGGATTCTTTCAAGAAAAGATTTTAGTGGGGCATTAGTGCTTGGCACATACAAAAGTCAACGCTAGACCTCATTCTCTGTTTCTATACTTGAATTCTCAACTCACCTTTCTGTGCCATTTGCATATGAACAGCTACAGCTGTAATTCTACAAGTTTTGCTAACATTGCACACAACACTTAAATGAATTTTCTGTAGCATCGCTGGCTGTCCATTTTCTTTTTCAGGGAAAGTATTTGTGGAGCTGTCCTAGTTTATTTATTTATTTAACAGGAGTAAGGAGTACTTGTGGTACATCATTCATGGATTTGAAGTGAAATTATTACAATTATGGAATTTTTTTTTTTTTTTGCTCCTCCGTGGTTCAACAAATGAAATTATAGTTCCATATCGAAGGCTGTTCATAATTCTGAAAGTCCTTTGTTTGGTTCAATACTATGGCTGACATGTGTTCTTTACAATATGTGTGCACTACTTTCTGGACCATTGTTTGCACCAACTATAGTGGAGTGCAGTAAGTCTTGATCTGTGCCCTTACATTTATTCCTTTCCTACACTTTTCTCAGTTATATTAAGCTGTGTGTGATGCATGTTGAAATTTTGCATGATATCAATGGAAGTCCTGATAAATTGGTTTGTATTTAATTTCATATTACACTGTCAGATTTTAGTTTAGTATATTTTTCCTGGCTTGATTGATTATTCTCTTGATTAATTGTAGTCGGGAATTCTCCCACCGAGTAAAATCTGTGTAAATGGCTAAATTTAATACAGAATAAGTTAATGCTCTTCAAGCTGGGGGGAAATGAGGTGTGTGACCCATTTAAAATAGAGCTGCTTTTTTTTTGCCGCTCTTTTGTATTCCTCTCTTCTACTGTAAATCAAACCTTTTTGCTTATGATTGGTCAATATGTTTTCCATTTTCATAGCAAGCAAGGGAAATTTACTTCAAAGAGTGGGATCCACAGTGTCATTCATTTCCAGATTGCAGGTGCTTGTGTATTTTAATTGGTGTTCAGTTAGGATACTCCATAAAGATGACAACTTATTCAATTTTTTTTGCAATCCAGTAACCAAAATAGACTTCGGGATTTTATTAAACATGTCTATGTGGATAGAAAATTTACTGGTGGGAGGAGCATGAACAAGCTTGCAATGGTGAAAACAGTAAGTGTCTTACTCATCATCATTTATGCACAACTGTGGTATTTTTTCCCCTTGGAAAGCTTTTCTGACCTCATATTGTTCTGGTCGATATAGAGAAATCCAATTCATGCTGTTCTGTCTCATTCATTTCAATTTCCATTTTCTACTTGGTTTTCTCATAGATAAACTCATCTCCTAAATAAAAAAATATTTCTTTTGTATGCTACAGGAGGAAGACTCCTGTCATTGGCATTCTGGTGAGAGACCTAGTTCTGGACAAAGGAGTGATGACAGAAGTTCAAAATATTATATTGATGATAGAAGAAGTCCAGGGTACGAACTAGACAATGTCAGATCTAGCACTCACAAGAACCGTCCCGTTAACTTTGAGATAGTCGATGACAGGTTTCGAGATGATGGGAATGGAAGTGGCAAGCGATCTGAAATGCATAGGCCTTCTAATGCAGAGTCCAGGGCACGGGGCAAGTCACCAGTTTATCCCAAAAGCAGGAACGTCACCAGTCCCCCAGTAGTGCGCCCAGTCAGGGATATTTTGGGTGATAATGTTCCAAATTTGCAGGTAGGCAAATCTCCTGAAGCAAATGACAGGATAGATAATGAGAGCTCTACTCATGGCAGGGTGAGATTAATTACTTAATTATGTAGTGATAGTATTTTGTGTTTACGTGTTATGTGTGTGTTTCCATTATTGTATTTTAGTGTAATTTGCTCAAGATGTCCTCCTTCCAGTAAGATATTACTTTCCATGTGATTCTCTGGTAGTTTGAGAGAGCATTACCACTAGCAATTTTGTGTAGAATCATGCAAGTTGCATAGAATTTACGAGGTGCAAGTCTGAATATTCTTATTGGATGGAATCCTATATTCACCATGGCTTATCAATTTGCAACTTTCTTTATGTCATTCTGGTGTAGCAATTTTTATGAAAACTTAATAGTGGTGGCATCCCCTTTATGTTGTTCTCTTTGAGATTCTTGGTTCTGCTGAAGCTGGCCATATCAGATCTTATTCTTTATTGGGCTGATTCTTGTTTCTTGAGACTATTTCATCATTGAAAGCTGTGAAATGGTCCAAAACAATTGTCCTGGGCAGGTTGTTGCACTTAGTCTCTGTACAGACTACACTTTCTTACAGATATATAAATCTTCTCTGTATTCTATTAAACCACATAAAGTTGCAAGTACCCAAACTCCTTAGTATTCCTCCATTGACCTAATGCAGAATTGAAAAAATTACAATGGACTAATTTCTGTTGTTTCATGTAAAAGGCGATGAACATCAATAATTTTTAGTTTACACTAATTTTCTTTGTTCTGTCTCCATTCACTGATACCATTTCTCATGCAAATAGGAAAGCCAAGTTTTTCGCAATATCTCAACAATGGTATTTTCTTTGCAAAACTAGATGAAATTACATTTTTGTAGTGTTTAAAAGTAAATATTGTTGCTCTCAAATGCAGCAATATTTACTATCGTGACAACTCGTGTGGCAATTGGTATAAATAAGCCGACAGGATCATCGCATTCCCCAAGAGGGTAACAAATGTCTATTTGCTAAGTTCATTTTTGGCTTTTTGGTACTTTTTTGGCAGAAGAATTTTGCTAATAATGTATTTGGTAGCCTAGCTTATTCTGTAATCCTTTGAAGTTAAAAGCATGTTGCATTCTAATCTTTAAATCTTTCTCAGTGTAGAAAACAAAATCTTTGAATGATCCAGGCTCTGTTGATAGGAAATCACAGGAACATAAAAGAGTGAACTCAGGTGAAAATAGTCAAGTTCATTTGCTTGTGTAGGACTCAAGCCTTTGACCTCCTAGTGAGTTGCAGGGATTCCGGTCAACTGTGTTAGCGCCAATTGATCAAAATCTGGATGTGTTGAAGTGAAGATGAGATGTAAAATAATTTAAAAGTTTCAAACCCGTTTCCTGAGATGTAATAGGTAGTGTGTTTCTTCTTATAGACATGGACTTCATCACTTACACCAAATGCTCAAGATTCATCAAGTGCTGTTGCTGGAGACTCATCTCAACCCAGCTCTAAAGTAGTCCAAGATACCACGTCCAGATTTGGGTCACAAACTCTTCTGGTGGAAACGAAGTCTTGTGGGAGGCAGGAACTTCCATCGGTAATTGCAATTTTTCCTAAATGTTCTGCAATTTTGTGGATTTTTGTGTTTTGGCTAAAATTTTGTAAATAATATGAATTAAATTCTACAGGACCTTTTCACTGCAAACCATTCATCATTTCCAGCACCAGTTCTAAGTTGGCAAGTCCATCCACCTTATGGAATGGGATATGGCATGCAGTACCATCCTACAGCCATGGTATATAAACCTGCCAAAATATCTATGTGAAAGAAGTTGAATATCAACTCCAACTATCTTATAATAGTTTCTAACTTACATTTTTCATTTAGTCCATGCTAGCTTTTTCCAATTCAGCAAAATCAAGGAATCCATTTGATCTCAATGATGACAACACTCAAGCTCAAGGTCCAATGGTATGCATATTCAGACTGTTTCTGTTGTAATTTTGTTCCCATATCCAAAAAAGTAACAATAAAAAAGAAAAGAAAAATAAATACAAAGACATTGGAGCATCGAAAGGATCAAGGAGGTGAATATATTTGGGGAAAAGGCCCGTTCGGGGGCCAAAATTGCAAAATGACCACTGAAACCACCGAAACTTGGCACGGATAGCTTGTTCAAGCCTAAATAGAGTTGTATAAGCAAACAGCACCCGATTGGACTTCCCGTTACAAAATTAAAATCAAAATTGTGAAGTTCATATCAAGGCTTTTTTTTTTTCAATCTAATATTGTTTTTTCTTTTTTCATGTGACAGATTGGCAATGGTGGAAAATAGTTTGGGTTGTATCAGAAGATTTGATTTTGTGTTTTTGGAAATATTTTGACATAGGATTTTGGTAAATGATTTATGGATTAAATGTTTAGCATCAAAATATTTGGTGTTGTGTTTTTGCAAATATTTTGACATAGGATTTTAGTAAATGACTTGTTGGTTAGATGTTTAACATCAAAATATTTGGTTGTAATTTTGAAAATATTTTGATATAGGATCTGGTAATGTGTTTATGGGTTTGATGTTAGTAGTTTGTAAGTACTTTGGTATGCATGTTTTAGATTGTCAAAGAATTGTAATTATGTTTATTGGGATTTTTCATAGCTATTAATTTTGAATTAGTATGAATGTCTTGCACATGTGTATTATTATTTAAATTACATTTGTGTATATATTGTGCACAAGAAAACAGGTGTTTTGGATTATTTTGAACAGGAAAATTATTAAAATCAAAATTTGTGTACTGAATTTTTAGTGACAGGTGGTATTTTGGTCGCTGGTAATATATTTGGCGACAACATATTGTTTTTGTCGCTAAAAGTTAGTGGTTATTCTAAGAACTTTTAGCAACCAAAACTTACTCGTCACTAAAAACGTGATTTTTAGCGACCAAATTAATTTTGTCGTTAAATAGTACTTTTGGCTACGCATTTATTTGTCGCTAAAAATACATAGCCTATCCAAATTTTAACCTTTTAGCAACAAATTGTAATTTTATAGCGACAAAATATATGATTTTTGGCGACCAATTTTGCTTGTCGCTAAATGTCTACCTACGGTGACAATTTCTGATTTCGTCGCCAATACTTTTAGTGACAGGCCTTTGGCGACAAGTTGTATATTTGTCGCCGATTCTTTTGGCGACGGAATTTGTACTTTTGGCGACAAAATTTTGGTCGCCAAATGTGTTTTTTATTGTAGTGCGTTTTTAAGTTCCTTTCATACCAATTAGTGTATATAAGTGTGTTTGGATTGTTTTGCTTCATTTTTCTGTCATTAAGTCATTCTTTGATTCTGGTCAGTATGGAATCAGTGTCCAATTCAGAGTTCAAAATTCATTCATTCTCAAATTCAATCAAACAAATTGTTTTCAAACTCAAAGTGATATGCTAGTCACGTAATTGATGTGCAAAAACGAAACTGATTTTATGGAAGTCATAGGATGACATCCCCGATTACAGAGACAACAGAAAAGCAAAAAAAATAGTTGAAGCTGTACTTGCCCACTCCAAAAACAAAACAAACCCCAAAAAAAAAAAACACAAAAACACAAAAAACACAAAAAAAAAAAAAACAACAACAACAACATCAACAACAATAACAACAACAACAACAACAACAACAAAAACAAAAAATAAAAGAGAGTAGCATTTTCTTAATTTTTCAACAGTAGCTCGGCGGCGAAGATTACAACAGACTTCATTTGCACACAGCTTCGCTACCTAACTTTATCATCAGCTGCCTCACTTCATCTTTACTCCTTCGAAGCACATCAACAACAATAACAACAACAACAACAAAAACAAAAAATAAAAGAGAGTAGCATTTTCTTAATTTTTCAACAGTAGCTCGGCGGCGAAGATTACAACAGACTTCATTTGCACACAGCTTCGCTACCTAACTTTATCATCAGCTGCCTCACTTCATCTTTACTCCTTCGAAGCTCTTGAAGACTCTGCCTCGGCCTTGGCAGAGCTCCCGAAGGAGATTATTCCTCGCCGGCCATCAAATTAGTTATGCAAAGAAACTTCGAATCGAGCCACGGAGGTGGCCTGTCGTTTCAGCTCTTTGTTCTACTTTTTCAGCGCACTAATTTCTACTCGAGTGTCTTTGTACATACGTTGGAAGGGGGAGAGTTGGAGGATGGAGAGTTGTGCATTTAACTAATGTACCTCACACGTTCTGTTCTGCAGACGATGGGACAAGTTGGAGACCGCAGTTACGGTCTCCATACATGACCTCAGCGTACATGAGTTTGCTTCGATGTCAGACTGTGCCACCATGATTTGTTCAACTGACATCGTTAGAAAACTAAAAACAGGAAAATAAGGTGGGAGCTCGTGGTTAAGGTTCAAGAGAGTCAGAATCGGTCATCTCTATCGTGGACTCGTTCAGGTCTGGAAAAAGAGTGAGAGAACCGTGTGAAGAAGCCATAGCAGAGGAGAGTAATGCAAAAGAAAGAGGTTGCAGAGTGGTGGCAAAGAAAGTTTGCAGGCTTTTGCTCTACCTCTCTCTCGTATGCCTCAATTTAAGAAGAGAGCGAAGAAGAAGAAGAAGAAGACAAAGAGGATAAACATTGGGATAAGCCATTGAAGAATCGGGGAAGTTTGTCGATCAGGCGCCGCGATTGTTGAAATTGCGCGCCAGACACGACCCTCGAAGAAGATGAAGGAAGAGAGAGTGAGACAAAAACAGAGAGAGAGGCGAAAAAGTTGTATATGTATATATATTGTATGTTTATCTATTATACATATATATATTTGTGTGAATATGTTGTCACAAGAGTGGCTTGGTTCAGTGGTTCAGTTCAGTGGTTCAGGGTTAAGAGCCTGAGCTTGAGGTCAGAGGTTCGAGCCTCTTATAGCAACGAGTGTTTCTTTTGTTTTGTTTTGGCTTTATGTATATATATCTCTTGTATACCTATATATATATATATATATTTGTTTGGAACTTTTGTCACAAGAGTGGCTTGGTTTAGTGGTTTTGCTCAGTGGTTGAGGACTTGTAATCAAAGGGTCGAACCCCGTATCCCATGTCCATGCATTTTGTCTTTTTCCTTTCTCTTTTTGCGTACGTATGCTGACATCAACAAACGAAATATGCCTTCTCAGTACGACATCTTCCTACTGACGGCCGCAAACGGAATATTCCCCACCTGTGTATTTTTGTCTGTATATGCATATATGGGTACCGTATGTACATATCTGTATGTATTTTGTCTATATATGAATATGTATATAGGTATGTACATATTTGTGTGTATTTTGTTTATATACACGATCACACTTGTATCGTACATCTATCATGCGATCATACTCGCATCGTGCATCTATCGCACGATCACATCAGCATCGTGCATCTATCGCACGATCACATCTGCATCGTGCATCTATCGCACGATCATATCCGCATCGTGCATCTATCGCACGATCAAATACCACATCGTATATCTGTCGCACGATCATATCCACATCGTGCATCTATCGCACAATCATATCCCCATCATGTATTTATCGCACGATCATATCCGCATCAAGTATCTATCGCACGATCATATCATTCTGTGCATCTATCACACAATAATCTCACTTCGAGCATCCACCGCACAATTTCAATTCAATCGCGCTATTTCGCGTATCACACAATCTTGTGCAGTTCAATTCAATCGCGCTATCTTGCGCATCACACTATCTTGTGCACTCCCGTGGTCTAGGAGACCTTAAATCCTCTAGAGGTGTAATTCCTTTGGTGTTTGTCGTGCCCGAATGACTTCAAGCGGTCTGGTATAGCCACCTACCTGTGTTTGCAATGAGTTCGTAGGAGACCAACCGCGACAGAGGAAACTAGAGTTCGAATGGTGAAGCTTAGAACGCAAAAGGTTTAGAATTTTCGAGACTAAAGTCTAGTTCAAATACCCAGGGGTGTATCCCCGGTTTGAAATCTGTATGACAGCCCCATAGGTTGAGGTAGCGTGTATGCACCTCAATTCTAGATACTGAACCAACCTAGTCTGTCACCCCGTTAGAGAATAGGGAAAGTTGTCAATATGATCAGGAAGAAAAACAACATCTGTGGCTTCTACATGTAGAGGTTACCCCTTGTCATTCTACTATACCTTCTTCCACTAGCGTGAGACACTTTTGGACTTCGAATCAACCTTTGCTCCTTTCACATGAAACGTGTTAGGATTAGATGTTTACTTGGTTAAAACCTTCCCTCTCTCCGTATGAGATACGGTTAGGTACGCCTGTAGGTTATACCATCTTTCCTCATTTCGTGTGAAACGCGTTGGGATTGCAAGTTCACCCGGTTAAAACCTTCCCTCTCTCCGTATGAAATACATTGAGATACGTCTATTGGTTACACCATTGTTTTTCTCCTTGGTTGAAACCTTCCCTCTCTCCATATGAAATACGTTGAGATACGCATGTTGGTTACACCATTGTTTTTCTCCTTAGTTAAAACCTTCCCTCTCTCCGTATGAAATACGTTGAGATACGCCTGTTGGTTACACCATTATTTTTTCCTTGGTTAAAACCTTCCCTCTCTCTGTATGAAATACGTCGAGATATGCCTGTTGGTTACACCATTGTTTTTTTGTTTGCCTGGTTAAAACCTTCCCCCTTTCCGTATGAGATACGGTTAGGTATGCCTGTTAGTTACACCACCTTTGCTTATTTCGCATGAAACGCGTTTAGATCTCAAGTTCACTATTCCTCCACTCGCATGAAATGCGTTTGGATCTCAAGTTCACTAATCCTCCACTCGTGTGAAACGCGTTTGGATCTCAAGTTCACCATTCCTCCACTCGCATGAAACGCGTTTGGATCTCAAGTTCACTATTCCTCCACTCGCGTGAGATGGGTTTGGATCTCAAGTTCACTATTCCTTCATTTGCGGGAAACACGTTTGGATCTCAAGTTCACTATTCCTCCTCTTGCGTGAGACATGTTAAGATTGCAAATCGGTTAAAAACAGTAGGTGAGCCTGTCTGTTTACACCACCCCTCCTCCTTTCACGTGAGACTCGTTAGAATTGCAAATCGGTTAAAAACAACAGATGAGCCTATCTATTTACACCACCCTTCCTCTTCTCGCGTGAGACGCGTTAGGATTGCAAATCGGTTAAAAACAGCAGGTGAGCCTGTCTGTTTACACCACTCCTACTCCTTTCGCGTGAGACGCGTTAGGTTGTTGATTCACTCGGTAAAAATAGCAGGTGAGCCTATCTGTTTACACCACCCTTACTCCTTTCACGTGAGACGCGTTAGGTTATTGATTCAATCGGTTAAAAACAGCAAGTGAGCCTGTCTGTTTACACCACCCCTACTCCTTTCGCGTGAGACGCATTAGGTTATTGATTCACTCGGTTAAAAACATCAGGTGCACCTGTTGTTTACACCATCTTTCCTCATTTCGCGTGAGACGCATTAGGTTGTTGATTTACTCGGTTAAAAATAATCAAGTGCGCCTATTGTTTACAACATCTTTTCTCCTTTCACGTGAGACGTGTT